CAGTGATTTGGTAATCGGAGGGAGCATGTACAAGCACAAAGATATACACAAAGCAACATGGGTTTCGCCTGACGGACACACCACGAACCAGATAGATTTCATCTCAATCTCAGGGAAGTGCAGACGCAGCCTACTGGACACAAAGTCGGGAGGGGGAGCAGATGTGGGCTCAGACCACCATCTAGTTCAAGGAACCTTCAAGGTGAAGCTGAAATCCTTCAGAACAACGGGAGGCAAAACACAATTCAAATTCAACATTCGGAAACCGGAGGACAAAACTAAAAAGGATGCATTCACTACAGATCAGAGCAAAATCGTAGATAATATGTGGCATCAGTGAGGAAACCTGCGTGGAAGAACATTGGAACTCTCTGAAGGTGATGTTCAAGGAAAAGTGTACAGCCATTTTAGGAAGGAAAAAGAGACAAAACAATAGATGGCTTTCAACTGATACCTGGAAGCTAACAGAAGAGAGGAGGATGGTTAAAGAGAAGATGACTCAATACAAAGATGGACAAAATAAAGAGAAGCTGAGTTCAATGTACACTTCACTGAATAAAGAAGTGAAGAAGAGTGCTAGGAAAGACAAAAGACAATTCTACGATACACTGGCAACTGAAGCGGAACGGGCAGGCCAGAGGTAAACGAGACCTCAGAACTTCTCTTTCCACCTAAGTATATTTGAACATGGAAATTGATGACTTGAAGTAGCTAAGCTTTTTTCCTAGATTATTTAATTTAGCACGCTACCACATCAAACTGCCAAAGAAGGGTCACCTAGTTAGGCCAGTACAAGAACTGGCGTGAAATAATGCTCTTATCCATGCCAAGTAAAATGTTAAGTCGCGTCATCCTGGAGAGAATAAAAGATGCACTGGACACAGAATTCCGCCACCTACCGGAAAAAGCTGGATTCAGGAAAGGCAAATCATGTGCTGATCAACTTGCAACTCTACGCATCGTCATCACACAACAAAGCATAGAATGCCACTCAAACCTGTACGTCAACTTCATCGACTTCGAAAAGGCCTTCAACAGACAGAGTTGACCGAGAAGTAGTTTGGAAACTACTTCAACACTACGGCGTGCAGTGCCCAATTCTTTATCAACCTCACTCAGCAGCTGGCTGTATGACAATGCCACGTGTTAGGTGATCCACAACGGAAAACTCACCCGGCGAGGCGTTCAAAGTGCATACAGGAGTAGGGCAAGACTGCCTATTATTACCGATGATATTCTTAGTCTTGGTGGACTGGATTATGCCTCAGACTATGCACGGGCAGTAAGAAGACAGGAATACGTTTGACTACCGATAAGAAGACTCTAGAAGATCTGCATTTTGCGCGTGGATGATTTATGCTTAGTGTCACACAAACTCGAAGAAGCTGGCAGCGAAGATAGGACTGCAGGTGAACATAGAGAAGACGGAGTTGATGAAAATAACCAACCAACCAACAGCACCAATTACCATCAACGGGAGAGATTTGAATGAGGTTACTTCCGTCACTTATCTAGGAAGTATCGTTTCAACTACAGGCGGAACGGAAGATATCAAAGCCAGTCAGAATCGGAAAGGCAAGATACTCCTTCATTAACCCGAAACCGGTTTGGAAATCTTCTGCACTGCACTCAGTCAGCATAAATAACAAGATTCGGGTTTTCAACACAAATGTGAATTCAGTCAGTTCTTCTATTATAAGGGTCAGAAACTTGCACTGCGTGTCACGAAAGGGATTTCCAACAAGTTACAGACTTTTATCAACAGCTGCCTTCGCTTCTTATTGAAAATCAAATGTCCAGAAAGAATTAGGAACAACAAACTCAGATAACAAACCAACCAATAGCTGATCACTCAACAAATATGTAGGAGAGAATGGAGGAGATCGTGCGAGAAGATGAGAGATTATGGTAAATTATGAACCCAACTGAAGCGGACAGCAGAAAGTAGAGCATAGTGAAGATGTGTTTTGGAAGCTCTATATTCCACTCGGAACCCAAGGGAATAATAATAATAGTTTGTTTAAACACTACAGTTAAATCATACGAAAATCAGGAAAGAATTTAGCATTCGAAAAGGAAACCACACATTTAGTATTGGGAAGACTATATTACCAAGATCTTTATATAATATAAGAAATACTAACTCTTCAGTATAAAAATTCATTTCCCCATCCATCTGATAGAAAATCAATTTGGTCAGATGCCTCACGAATACAGCAAGAAAGATCTGTACCAATGATTCCTTAGAAGATGAACTAGGATGCTTCAAAAATGCGCTGGTCCAAATGAGTTATCCTAGTAGATTTGTAAGCAGCTGCCACCCCTAGTTTGTCATTTTCCAGCCTACCATTTATGATTGCTCAAGTGTAAGATAAGCTATCTAGCTGTGCCAATTCTATGTGCATTTACAAGTTTAGTTGCCCCTGAGCAGAAAGCTACATAGGGTGAACAACTAGACAGCTCAACAAACGCACCACTGAGCATCTTCATTCTCTTGTCTATCTTTTGTGATACTGATTCTCCTTTGAATGGGAGACAAATAAACACTTTCTTCTTTTCAAAAGTTGAGTATCTTGTCCACTCGTCTTTTCCTTTGCTATACTTTTGGATAAATCCCTTTGGATACCCATTTCCCCCTAGGCGTTTTTCAGCAAAGCCTGATTCTTCTTCCACCTTGCTGGGCAAACATAGCTCTCTGGCTCTGTCGTTGAAAAGAAGAACGTGTTTATTTGTCTCATATTCAAAAGAGAAGAAGTATAACGAAAAATTGACAATGGAATGAAAGGAGAAATAAAAAGACGCAGTTCAGCAGCTAAGCCCGTAACACTACATAACGCCGCACGCCCTATAAGGCAATCTAAACTGTATATGTAGCCAGTGGATGTTATCTTCAACTGCGTTTATAAATTTACGTGCACTTACAGAAGCAAGTATATTGAAAGAACAGAGAGAAGGGATTTTATCCGATTTTCAGAGCATATTCCAAGAAACTTATGTCTAAAATGAAGCAAATATTCACAAAATACAATCACCAGACACTTCTTTGTGGATACGGGTCATTTCGTCGAGATTTCCAAATCCCTCAAAATATGAAATATACAAAGGACAGAAAAATTTACAACGGTTTGCCGAAACAATTACAATCAAATACTTCAAACCGAACTTATGCATATACAGAAAGACAGTGTAATCAATCCCTTATTCTCGTGGTAATTTTTCATTTTGATTACATTGATTAGTCATTCATATTAGTGATTTCGGCTCACTGAGAAAATTTTCAATCTTATAAACCTTATTGAGTTGCTATGTGAACCTACAAGCTAACAATGTTTATTAGGTTTTTTTTTGTTTTTTTCCCACCCACCCCTCCTTTATTATTATTTCGAAAGCAGTATAAATTGATGGTAACTTCAACTAAAAACTGTAATACTTACATTCTGGATGCATTAATTTTATAATATTTTCTTTATTAATATTTAAACTTTGAAATATGTTAGTATAACTTTTTATAACGATTTTAGTTTCAGGTAGTTTGCAGCTGATGAGAACCTGTGTAACAGGATGATATCATATAATCCTGTACATTTGATCTTTCTTCATCGAAACTCATTGTCAGTATTACTGATATTTGCTATAATCCTTGTTATTACTGACACATTCACATTTATTATTTATGATCCATAAACTCACTGCCATTCGATAGATTTATATTTACATAAAAAATTATGTGTACACTAGAGTAAATCTTGAAGATCTAATTGAAAACAATATTGTTGGCTTATGTGTCTTGTTTTAATTTTACCAATGAGAATATTAAAGAAAACAGATTTCAGTCTAAAAGAGACCGACAGAGGCGATGACAACTCATCAGTCAGTTGCACATAACACAGCCAGCTTAGAAAACACTTCTTTGTGATATGGTGACAGAACAACTGTTCTAGTTAAAAGAGAATTTAAAAATACAAAATATAGTTAAAATGCGAAGTTTTCAGAATGTTTCGAAAATAAAGATCAGTTACTAGTTTTATTTTAAAAATATGATTAGAATTGACCTTCAAGCCCTTATTAAGAAACAGATATGAAGTTGACCCACGGACACTTAACTCCAAAACCTGACTTATTCTTTAATTAAGTCACTTTTTTGAGAATGTTAACAACTATTCCTCTTTATTACTTACTTATTTCCCTTATTCTTTTTATATCTCCTGTTCTTAGTGTATGTTTTTATTCACAGTTATAATTTTAACCTTTCTTCTGTCTAGACTTCAGGTGTTTTTTGAGGTAAGCGTGACAGTTTTCTCATGCTGAACGTGAGTGTTAATAAAAAAAACAAAGTACAGCTGCAACAAACGCTTTTGTTATGGAGCGAACGAGTCTTTTCTTTGGCGAAAACTCTGCTACCTTAAATCAAATTCACATCTGCAGTGGCGCTGAAATTTTTTAGGAAACCAGATAGTTCCCAGTAGTACTTACGAGGTGGCATCAATTCCAGACCTATTGAAAACCAGGAAGTACTAGACAGATGTTTCGTCCTAGTTTGGGCTCTTTAAGTCAGGTAAGAGGACAATCACTCGCCAATGACATTGGCTGGCAAAGCAGCTACGTATTGAGAATTGGTCCACCGGATCAGGACCTAGTGGCTGAATGGTTTACGAGCTCTCCTTGTAACCAGAAGGTCTTCGGTTTGACCCCCCAGTGGGTGAGTACCGATGAAGAGTAAATAACTAGGAAGAAACAGCTATCAAGTACTCCCTGGTTTTCCAGTGGTTCGTTAACTGATGTCAGTCTTTATTCAAACCTGCAGCTAATCAAATCCCTGCAAACTAACATTTAGAAAATGTCCGAATTAACTTTATAGACCTCTAGCACTTTTAATCAATTATTCACACAAACTACAATCATAAAAAAGCATAAAATTTCAACGAATAAATGAAAAAGTGTATTAAAACTTGAACGTATTACTGATATGAATTTCACTTGAAGACTAAAATTTCCTTTACCTTGTACTCTTTGTTCACGTATCATCCAATAAAGAACTCCCAATTTATGATCTGACTTTGAAAAGGTTTCATGAGTTTGCTTTTCAAAATCGTCTTCTATTGAAGGAAAATGATTTGGTCCTTTTAACTGACGAACGCGACATTTAGCATATTTAAATTCTGCTACACTTGTTGCGATATTCAAGCGTTTCTTTGCAATATCTTGAATCCAAGATGAGACATCAGGTTTTTCTACTTTTGAACTCATGAATTTTATACCTGGCACAAAAAACATCACAGTGGAAATAATAGGTATTTTGTATTTGTGTGGTTTAAATAGTCAGAGGTGTAGGAAAAAACAAAGATTCCAACAGCAATTCACCTGTTAAGATCATCACTACTTAATACAGCGAAAAGTGAGGAATCCTACAAAAGAAGAAAAATACTAGACAACAGAAAAATTAACAAGATAGCAGTACTGTCTAGTGATGACAGTTATGACATCTCACATCTTTACATTGAGTGGACAGTGTAAACGAAAACCAAAATAAGAAAATAACAGTGAAACTCTAGAAAAGAAAGGAAACCAAAGTAAGCCGATATTATCACGCAGAATTATTGTGTGAGTGCAGCAATCTAATTAACCTAGAGAAAATTCTACTTTCAGCAAACATGAGTTTGAAATAGACATAATGTTTTACATCTAGAAGGAAATTAAAGAGGTTGTTTTTAGATATGCAGTTGCTTTCCTTGCCAAACTTGCCATACCTTATTTCTATTTTAGCTGAAGTACATATAAACAAACAGTCTAAGTTGCTCTTAGTTATCTCATTATATCTCTTTCTCTCTTAAAAGTGTCCTTGTTTATTAAACAACCGTAAAAATGACAATATATATTTTTATATATATTATTATTGTTTCCTTTAATTCCTAGAGGAACATAGGGCTTCAGCCGTGCGTCTCCATTGCGTTCGGTTCTCTGCTAGAGTTTTCACCTGGCTCCAAGTCTGCCCACACGCTTTCATCTCCTCTTCACATGACCTCCTCCAAGTCACCCTTGCACTGACGACCAACTCGCCACTTCCCTTTCGGGTTCCACTCGAGCAATGGCTTGTCTAGTGATGTCAATTGATGGTTTCCTCAGAGTATGGCCAATCCATCTCCATTTCTTCCTGCCTATTTGTTTCACAATCGGTTCCTGGTTGGTTCGCTCCCAGAGATCTCTGTTGCTGATCTTTTCTGGCCGGCCATCTGATCTTGAGTATTGAGCGAAGACAACTGTTAATGAAGGTCTATAGTTTGTTTGAGATGCTCTTTATGACGCGCAGTGCAAGTCTCTGATCCGTGTAGTAGCACTGACTTCACATTGGAGTTGAAAATCCGTATCTTATTTTTAATGCTGAGTGCTGTTGACCTCCATACAGACTTGAGAGTAGTGAAAGCTTGTCTTGCTTTTCCGATTCTTGCTTTGATATCCTCGTCAGTTCCGCCTGTAGTTGAAACGATGCTTCCCAGGTAGGTAAAGGGGATTGTTTCTTTCAGGTTCCTTCGATTTATGCTGATCATTGTCTGTTGTTATTGTTGCTGTTGGTGGTGTTACCCAGGAATCTTCATATATATATAGACAAAACTTACTGAGTGATATTAGAATTAATGTTTGGCTTTACAAAAAATAACTAAGAAATGTAAACTTGGACTTGTGACACACACACTAATCTGTGCCCTTATATGCCTACGACTGAAGCGGCACAGAAAACGGGTACTTACGAAACTGCCAACTTGACAAGAGTACGAAGTCTTTATTCAGGAGAGAAATAGTTAAAAGTGTATTTGACGTTCACAGTAAATACCCGTACTGAGGAAGCCTGGTGTAATATCCAATCTACTGTTAAAACAGTAGCAAAGGCTGTTGACAACTTGAAACCAAAGATTAGTAAATGCCAGTAGATTTATGTTGTGACTGGTGCAAAAGTACTGGTCCCCATGGACTCATAACATAATGATAAGCAAAGGTCGCGACAAAACAAGCTAACTAAAGGCCCTCGCAACGACTGGGGACAGTGGTGGGTGATGGAAGTAAAAGTGATGGGAAACCTTCAGCGGTAGGTAATATTAGACAACTATATAAACGGGCTGTAAAAAACCAGTGGTAAGTGAAACAATTTCCAAAGAGGGAATTTAATTAACTCTCAAGTAATGAATGGGAATCTGAAACAGTCCAGTTGAACTGGTGTCAAACACTGATTATCCCAGTTTATAAGACGTTAGACAAATCTCCGTGATAATTTTAGAAGGATTAGCTTGACTAACAAGCTAAAGTGCTAGATTCAATAGTTTTGAGCGAATTAGGTGTTTGAGAGGAATGAATCTGTGGAAACCAGGCTGGCTTTAAGCCTGAGTGAGGGCGTACTGGTTACGTTTTTAACTTTTGATAGATTCTGTAAAATGGACATACTCACCAGCGTCCAATACTTGCCATGTTTCTCGACTTAAAAGCGGCATTTGGCTCTGTCGATTGAGCAGTGCTATGGCAACATCTGGTCAGAAAGGGAGTGTTGAGAAAGTATTTCGCACTAACCAAGGCACTTTACTACAACTCACTCAGCAGTTGACCACCTAAGTTGTTGAGGAAGTTGCATCATCCTTAATGAACTGGTTGCTGTCGAAATCACAGCATGGATACAAAAGGTGCGTGTGCTATTTGCCAGCTTACCTTATCTCTGGTGCAGACATGATATCTGCGTTTCCATCAAAGGACGTGTGCACTACTCAGCAATTTACACTATCCTTCTTTATGGCTCTGAAAAATGAACGCTGAAAGTGGAAAACATAGACAGACTAGCTATCTTTGGCCATAGTCGTTTGCGTTTTATCTTCTATATAAACTGATATGAAATTAGTGAGCATTACTGGAGTCAGGAGTAGTGTCAGGTTACTGTGAAAAGTCAGTCAACCAGACTGTGAAGCTGTATCGATTGGAATGGCTGGGACAGGTGTTACGCATGCCAAATAATCGCCCTCCTCGATGGACAATGTTATCTAACAGTGTTTTGTTGACAGAGTTAAGGACAGTTAGATTGAAACATGGCAGCAATCCAAGGCATTTAAGACCGATGGTTTGGGCCACGTAGGGAGGTTCAGACTATCTGGCTAGGGTCTTCGAGACTCAAAAGTCAAATGGATGGGAAGTGCTAGTGCGATGGGTCAAAATCGTTTTCAATGGTGTACGAGCATTCACTTTATAAACGCTCATCCATTAAATTCTCCTGTTTCAGTTTACTGCAGTGTCTTGATATTTTTCCCTACCTTTGTGTACTTTTATGAAGTGTGGTAACTTGTAGTTTTGCGCACTGTTCAACGTTGAGAATTCAGTAAGTCAGTTATTTGTATTGTTCACTAACCCTAAGTCAAACCGAGTTAGAAATATAACTCAGGTTGGATTTCTCATGCCTCAAGTGCAACACTCCTTGTGCAAGGAATAGGGATTAATCTTAATTGCCTTAGTTAAAATGGTTCACGTCAAAAAGAATAACGACAAAGGTTACAAACAGAGGAGAATAATAAACGGAATTCACAAGAATCAAAATTAAGTGTAACAAGCCAGCGGATTTATTTATACCGAACAAATTCACGATAGATGGGAATCCTTACCGAAAAACTCCTTCCATTTGATCAGTACCTTTAAAAGAAGATAGCTAATATTGATTGTCAGACAAAGTCAAACACTAGAGAAAGGCAACAAGTTAAGTTTAGGAACTTCTTCTGTAGCCATTAGTTTCACAGTCCAACCAATAAACTCCTGAATGCATTTTGCACCTGCCACAAAGTAACCTCTGGAATATTTACAAAACGTGGGACCGCAGTATGTGGGGAAACATCCATTCAATGTTAAGTAAGACACACGAAAGTGTTGGCCATTTACCTTATACATCAGACTTCTCGTGTCATGTAATAGAAATGAGGCAATTCAGACGAAGTCCAACCTAAAATCAACCTTTTCTCAAACATTTTCCTCCTATACTCTTAAACTTAGAAGTGCACTGCAGACACTTTAGGGCGGACCTAGGGTCCACTGCAAACACTTCGGGTGCGCTGCAGACAATTTTGGGAAGGCTGCAGGCAACTGTCCCACTTTCTTCAATGCGTTTCAAGTTTTTTGCCCCTGAAGAAAATGCTACCCATGGGTTCCACAAAACATTTTATTTGAGCTATTTGCACTCTTTTCACTCTGATATAATTGTCGATCTGATTAGCAGTGCATTTTATTTAGCTTTCATTCATACAAGTACATTCTTGCAGTCAGGTAGGATTAAATCCGATAATTATACGTGCACAACATATAACTCGAGGGTATAAATTACCAGCATCTAAGATGCTGCTACACTACTTGATAACACTAGAAGCATTTTACTTGTTTTAATACTAATTCCACCAATCTAAATAAACTAGCAACATGTCTAATATACCCAATCAAGAAATAACAAAGGCACGTACTCAGTTTTTGAAATTCCGCCTCGTGTTCAGGTAGCCAAAGCTGATGTGTTTTAAGAACGCAGTAAAACTGCAACAAATTGCTGTGAAATGCTTCCGCCCCACGCAATTTCGTGCGGTTTTGGCTTAAAGACTGAGATCTCTATAAAATCACACTCCCTACCTAATATTCAATATCTCATTGATGAACTTGTGCACTATCGGGTCGTAGTTTTGCTACAGGCCTCTTTATATGGACAAACAATATCTAATACTCAAGCAGCTGCTTATCTTTCACAAAAATTAATATGACGAATGAGATGTACTGACTGGCCACGCAAACTTATATCTCCTTTCTGGATCATTAAATGATGACGGTGTCAACAAAATAGTTGGATCTATTAATTTTTAAAAATTTTATTATGGTTTGATTCCACACAGCATTTATTTGGTACGGGTTTGGAATTTTCAGAATGTGATATCGGTAGCCCAAATTTAGCAGGCCGATTATTGATATCAGGTGTTCGTCGGCCGGGGATCGAACCTTGGACTATGTGCATGGTTGGCGCTGTGCCACTGACACAGAGTAAGCTGAAATTAAGTATCCAATATAGTACCGACAAGTCTGTAAAAATCTCATGAGTTCTTAACCCACTGTTCTTGTTCCGATTACTGTCCTCCTGCTAAATGCAACGAGAGGAAGTAAGCAAACTTCCAGGCAGTCCTCTAGTTAGGTTGTCATAAATTTCTTTTCAAGAGACGGGCATGCCAGCTTTTTAGGTACAGAAATTAGGCATCAGGAGGGAGCAGCTATCAAATCTATAACGATCTGCATGAGGATAATGGCTTGCCATTCAGAGTACAATGCGTTTTCGACGGAAACCTTACACTTATGTACCCCACAGCAAGAGATTTCGGTCAACTTTGGGGGAAACGACAAATTTTCAGACGTTTTCTTAACAGGTTTCACGAAGTGTCCGACCAAGTCCCTTGTTCTTATATACAATCTCCTTTAAACAAGTGAGTACAAACAAACTTTCTTAGCGTATGACCCTCGGCTGTAAAGTTAAAGTTCCTGATCGTTTGGAGTCCCCTGAGTATTCCCCCTTGACGTGAATAAACTGAGATGAGCATAAGAAATAAATAGTGAGCCCTAAAAGCCACCAGGTTACCAATGATGTAGTGTTGTATTAAACCAGGTAAAATAATCTGATTTATAACCCCACGGAAGGAGTCACACGATATCGCCTATGTATCGACATTGAATTGGCGGAGAGAAAACATCCGCGGAGATAGAAGAACATTTTGGTCAAACCTCGCCGTCGAATTACAAACTGGCCTTAAGAATCTGTGCTAATCCATGGCTTGTGGGACAAGGACTGGCTATGGCATGCCATCGGAACCCATCTATGCGTCCTTTTTTAACTGGGGTTACTAAGTGTTTCCCTGAAAAATTGTAAGTATCATATTCCCTTTTCATCTGTTGGAGTGGCGTGAATGACTACCTGGCTACCAAGTTAGGAAAGGCTAAGATGTCAGTAAATCATGTGTCCCAAGAACAGGCCAAACAACAAGAATATATACACAGTGATTAGCGTTATTTCTGATCGAGGCTAACAGGAAAATGTTCTGGGCGTTGTTAAAGCGGTGTAATTAACTATCCCACACAAGTAAAACCTCTTGGAAGTTTAGGAATTGTCGAAGACTTAAACAACATTTTAGAAGGGTGACCGAATAAAGAGGGTGACACGACGCAAGGCCATCAGACAATGTCTCCTAACAAATAACCCGATTACTACTCTGTGAATCTTCGCACAAATCTGAAAACTACTCATTGGTTGAGATGGGTAGTTATATACCACTCATATCAACAAGTAGTGCTTCCTAGGCGGGTTGAGCTGATCTTGACTCCGAACAGCCGCTTCACTTGTTTGAGACCGATGTTGACAATAGTGTACCCGATTAGACGGTGAAAATCTGACAAGTTTTCATCCGAAATAATTTTGGATATACAGCTCCCTCAAGCCGGTAGTTATCAAACATTATCTTACGGCCCGCCAGGAAACCAATAATTCAGGCCGTTTGAATGATTCTGAACCCGTTTCTCTTTAACTTATGAAATCCACTGACATTCAACTCCTTTGTCAGTCGATAGACTCAAAAGGCTACACTATAATGAAAATAAAGATATATTTGTTTAAAGACATCTGGGAAGTGGATCTCCCTCACCAGAAAAATCATACCTACTTTAATCTACTTCACTACTGCGTTCTAGCTTTTATCCCTACTCCTATCAACCTCATTCCCTGTGCTCTCCTTGTTGTTCCTGTGTGCTTTCACTGTCTCGAACCATCTTATATCCTGCTGTAATTCCCTACATTCCACCAGTTTTGTCTGCTTAATCCTTCAAATCTCTTTCCACTCACGTAATACTGCTTTCTCCGAAATATATGACAACCTAACTAGAGGACTGCCTGGAAGTTTATATATATATTTATTCCTGTTTATGCAGGAACATACCAATTGTACAGGCATGGATAAGTTATTATATAAATTACAGTTTGTTTGTTCAATCTGACATTAGAGTCAGTCAGAACAGTCTGCAAAATAGTCTGTCTGTGTAACACATAAAGAGATATAGAAATATTGTCTTCGCATTAACAAAAAACCCAGACTTCAGATGAGTGTGATACAAATATCTGGGAAAAATAAAGCTTGAAGTCAATTCTCCTATAAAACTTTGTTGTGAACAGCATCCGTGAGATAAAGTTTATTGATGTATTATTTTGATTCAATAATGTATTTATTCCATTTTTGTCAGCAGTCTTATCGTAGTTTTATAATAGGAAAGAAATTTGATCTTTGATACGAAAGTTAGATAAGGTAATGTTAGATTGTTTTACTGCATCAAATGGGGTCAATTCTAGAACTTTCCATTTGCGCCATTTGCGTCAGCATGGCAGACTGTACATGTAAGTTGAGTAATACATTGATAATTGTTTGAAAACCAGTTGCTTCTTTATTTCAGATCAAGAATACTCCTTGTACAGAATGTTAGCCAGCGTTTTCAAGTGGTTGCATCGGATCGTTCATAGAATTTGAGTTTGAATTTACATAAATGGTCATTTCAGTTTGGATGTTGGGTTGTTCGACCTCAACCAGGAGGTATATAGAAGTTTACGCTCAGCAGGGAGATAAAGTATGTAAATATGAAAAGAACTTTATTATTTTATGTACATATAAATGTTTATAAATGTATATCATTGTATAGTAAACACTACCCATAATCTTGTTGTTTTTTATGTAATTTTTGCGAAGTCTTAGAGTTTATTTAGTGTCGTAATATTTAGTAATGAGTCTAGGCGTTATAGTGTGCTAATAGCTCATGCGTTTTGGAAATAAGTGGTGCGGTGTGATTGGCATAGTCATTGGGATGAAGCAGTTTATATAGCAAGCGTTTGAAGGTTATGATAGAGTGACAGGTCCTTATTTCTAGGGGTAAACTGTTCCAGATCTTAGAGTACATGACTATGAAGAAGTTTGCACGGAGTGCTGTTTTACAGTTTTTCCTAGATACTTTGCACGTTTGGTTACGAAGGTTGTAAGAGCCTTCCGGTGAGAACTGTATCTCTTTGCTGTCTGAGAATGATATTTTATGCAATATTTTAAAGAAGAATGTTAGGTTAATGCTCAGTCGTCTCATCCAGAGTGGGTCGATACCTAGAGTTATACATCTTGATGTGTAGTCCTTTTCGCAGTCAAATCCTAGTAGTTTAGACGTGAAGTATCGTTGGACACTTTCTATTTTAAGTTTGTCACTTACGCGAGTGCTGCTGAGAATAAATGGACAATATTCAAGTAGTGGTCTGACACAAGTTTTATATAATAATAGCTTCGCTTCGTAGTTGTGGAAATTCCTGAGTATGCATCCTAGAAGCATCCTCGATTTACGCGTCTGTGTCGCCACTTGCTCGGAAAATGTCAAGTCACTAGAGTACCTGAGTCCTAGGTCAACAACACTTTGGAGTTTAGGCAAGTCGATGGATTCAAGTACCAGTTTGATATTTATTGAGGGTGCACCGAAGCATATCCAACCACATTTTTTAAGGTTGAATTTCAGGTTCCATGTGGAGGACCATGCAGTTACTCGATCTAGTTCTTCCTGAACAGCTTTCTGAAAGTACCCTAAGTCATCACAGTGGAATGTGTAAGCTACTTTAAGATCATCTGCAAAGATGAATGGTTTGCCAAGTGAGAAACAGCTGCATATGTCGTTGACATATAGAGTGAATAGGAGGGGGCCTAAGACGCTACCTTGAACTACTCCAGAAGTGACTGGACTAGGTTTAGAGTTTACAGAACCCAGTCTAACTACTTGGGACCTATTGTTAAGGAATGATTCAATCCATCCTAATAATGGGTTACTTATTCCTAAGGAGTTTAGCTTATTTATTAGAAGCAAATGGTCAACGCGGTCAAAGGCTTTGGATATGTCGAAGTAGATGACAAGTACTAGTTGTTGTTTGTCGCGGCATCTAGTTATGTAGTTAAAGAAGTCAACGTGACATGTCATGCATGATCTGGATTTTAGGAATCCATGTTGGTTGGGACTTAGAATATTGCAGCTGAGCATATGTTTGAGGATATCATCTTTAACTATTCGTTCAATGATTCTAGATACTATGGGTGTAATATTGATTGGCCTATAGTTGTTGACTTCAGTTTTTGATCCGGATTTGTGTTTAGGTACTATAAATGTCGTTTTCCATTTATCTGGATAGGTTTGGCTTTCTAGGGACATTGTAAAAATCTTAAGTAATAAAACGGAAATGTCAGAACCACCGTGTTTATAAAGATACGATGGTATACCGTCAAAACCGGCACTACTAGAGTTTTTAAGAGTATTAACGGCTTGGTTAATATTAGAGTAAGTGAAATGAACTGTAGTGATTTGTTTCAGCGTTGAAGATGAAGGGAGTTCTATTTTAGATTGTAAACCGAGAAGTGGACTTGTAGGCTTAAGGTAGTTAGCTGCAAACGTCTCATTAAACAGTTCACACATGTCTGCATGTTTGCTGTATAGTTTGCCCTTGTTTATAAGGAGAGAAATTTTATGGCTTTGGCGATTCATTCGTTTCTTTAGTATTTCTGTGAGAGCACCTACTCTGGTGGTGCTGGCTAGTGCCGTGCATTCTTCATTTCTCATACGCAAGTTATGAGCTTGCGAGATGGAGCTAAGAGTACTAAGTATTGACCCTAGTGTACTAAAGTCGTGTCGCCTGAAGTAACTTGTTGACAGTCTTTTCAGTTTCCTACGATCCTTTGGCTTTATGAATGTCTTTCTATGTGGGGAAAACTTTAGTGTTTGAAATGGGATGACAGCATCTAAGCATGTGTTGGAGTTATAGTAAAAGATGTCTAGAGCTTTCGAGAGGCTATCAGTATAGAAGTACTCACTCCATTCTGAGGATCTTAGCATTGATTTTACTAGAGTCCAGTCTGCCTTACTGTAGTTCCTGTAAGTTATTTGTTGTGAAGTAGGGGTATGGGTTGCATTGCTACTTGACGGAAGTGGCAGTGCACACAGCACTGTTTTGTGGTCACTCCCTGAAAACTCAGAACCTACTAGGGTAGAAAGGGGACTTATATTGTGGCAGAAGATTAAGTCTAGTACGTTATTACCTCTTGTAGGGGTTGTGACGGTCTGCTTCCAGCCAAGTATATCCAGTGTGCCTAAGAACTTATCAAGTTTAGTTGGACCTGTGGGTATTTCCCAGTTGATTTCAGGTAAGTTAAAGTCTCCACATAGGATCTTATGATCGTAGTGGAGGGTGGATAATTGTTCTAGAGTATTAATAAGTTGGGTCTCGTAATTACTAAAGGTGCCAGGTGCTCTGTAGGTGCATCCAATTAATACTATTGCGTTATTTAAGTGTAAGTTAACCCATAAAGTTTCAGGCATGTTAAGTGTACTACTTTCTAGCTGTGATACAGTAAGTGCATTCAGAAAGTACATAAGACAACCCCCTCCCTTACCACCTTCCCTGTCACACCGAAAGTGTGTGTAGTTATCTAAGCTTATCTCTTCATCCAGTATGTTCGAGTTACACCAGGATTCAGTGATGACAATTATAGGGGGTTTGTATATTACTGTGAGTGCTCTGAGCATCGGTAGTTTATTTAGAACGGATCTAGCATTTATGAGGATTAGGTAAAGATGAGATTTGAAATAGCATTTGAAGTACTTAAGTTCGTCAATCAGCCCCGAATGTGGTTCAGCACCCAGTAGTACTGTTTGACATGACGACCCTATGTTGAGAGGAGTTTCAGCATCATGTTCACCTATGTCTATCGAGTTGGTGTGTGCTGTTTTCGGTGAAGAATTGAGCGTTGGAGTACTGGATGTGCTATAGGCTAAGGCATTTTTATTTTTAGTAAAGCTAGAAACGGGGGTAGGGATCTTTATTTGACCTAAACTTGTGCATGTACCAAGTGTGCTTAGTGGATGCTGGTGAGCTAGACTGTTCCTACATTCATGCAAAGGGGGAGCCAGCACTAGTGGTTTAGGAGTGTTAGCATCCCTACCAGCTGTTTTTTCAACGCTGACAGGGACGCAGGGGATAAAAAATGATTGGGACCTTGTGAAGACCATGGTCTATTATTCCACCTATTGTTAGGTACTAGTGGTGTCCTTGTAAGGGTTTCGAATGTACTGCTTTGTGGGTTAGTTCCCAGCAGACTTGTACCGTATATCCGATCAAAATTTATTAGCGTGTCATACTGTGAATGCCCTGAGTTGTTGGTGGTCGAGTTCTGACTATTGTCACTTGTACTCTTGAGGGTGGCATTGTTTGGGCGTTGGTTATCAGTGTGGGCCGTGGTGCTATTTCGCATGTTGTGGGTGCCAATACTATTGACCGTGGGGAATGTGGGCTTACTTATACTGCCATTGTTGTTGTTGGCATGATTTGGGGTCATATTCTTCTCTTTTTTACCAATGGACTTATGGCTAGGAGAGGAAAGGGTCAACTTTCGGGGGATTTTGACTTTTTTCCAGG